TTTATTTTGTGACCCAGAAAGAATAAAAAGAGTAAAGTTAAAACTAACTAGCTGCCGCCATTGTTGGAAACTGAGCTGGGCTGCGCTATGAATTCTGGGACACAGCTGCTTCTTCTTCAGGGTTTAACGGCAGCTGGCATCCTTGTACATGCAGTGCTGCCATCTTCTGTTTCAGTCCATTATTACACTCTTAAATCCTGCTACTTATTCCTGCGTCTTTCAGGATCTTACAAAGCTTCAAACGACACGTCGACTATTAAATCAGTCGTCGACGATTTTGATAGTCGACATAATCGTGACTAGTCGACTAATCGTGGCAGCCCTAACTCCCAGCAACACAGCATATTTGTTCCAAGCTCCATGAAGTGGTGGTGAACCCCTGCAGAGATCAGGCTTTGTGGTTCAGGCTCAGCTGACCGTAACGCGACCCGTCACGCACGCTTCCTGTTGCTGATAGATCAGGGTTTCAACAGGCATATTTGAGGGTTCCCAGAAACTCACAGTAAAATGTTTTATAGTGCTTTTTAAGACACGCCGATCCCTCCGCAGAGCCCCCCACTGCCATTTCACCGCATGTACAGCCGCACTGTTTACCTCCAGCTGAGGCGGTGGAGATCGCCGTTGATCTGACTCTGCGACAGGAAGTCCAACAATTTACACCAGGCTACAAAAATGTTGTGGAGCTGCCAGCCGGCTGATTACAGGTGAGCGGGCTGCAGTCTCGAGAGAACTTCATGCAAGCTTTAAAAACTCTTATGGCTTCAGTGCTGACACTTAAGCACTTTTTACACAACAAGAACGTTGCTAATTGGGCAGCTCCGTTTCCCACGGTTACACAAAATAAAAGCCTGGCTTTTAATCTGACCCATGTCAGTTTTCGGGGTTAGCGGTAAGAGTCGTCATAACTGTTGCAGGTCACTCTGTAGCTCTGCTGACTGTGGGGGCGCACAGATTTACCCCCCCCCCCCAGCTTTCTGCAACACTAATGAAGAGGATTTATATTCAGTACCCACCTTTTACCCCACCCGCCGCCACAGCTTCACTGGATGTTTGTCATACTCAATAGCACTTGCTGTTACCATGGTTACGTGGACTTAAGTTTTAATATTTTTTTTAATTGTAGGATTTTGTCCTTTTAAAGAAAGCAGTAATATTTCATGTCTGTGTCATGTTGTTGTCCTACAGAACATTGTGCAGAAACAGCTGATGGTAAGTCTCCTGCTCAGTTCCAGTTCGTATCTGTCCAGGAAACAAAAACACCGTCAGCACTGCTTCAGAGTTTTGACAAGGGGGCAAGCTGTAGCTTAGTAACAGCAGAAGAGAGACATCCCATCTTTGTGTTGTGATGAAGCCGCCCTAAGGTCAGTGAAATGTCACGACTCACTGCCTGTCCTGCTTTTTCTTCCTCATTGCAACACGGCCGGCAGTCCTGAAGCGTGGAGCTCCTTAAATGCTCACGTCCATCAATCTTTCTGACAGTTATGTGGCCACTTTTTGTGGGATGAAGAGGAGAGGGCGTCGCAAGCAGCCATCAGGGGAACTGTACTGCAGCGCTCCTCGTCTCAGTGTTTTGCAGACAATGCGTGATGTTTTCCATATTTAACCCTCCACATTCTGTGAAACAGGATCCAGTAAAACCAGCAAACCAAATCAT